GCCCGGGGCACACAGCATGCGGGCAGCAGGGCTGACAGTGACCTCAGGGTGCCCAGTCCCTGGCCCTGGCTCGAGCCTCGGCACAGGCAGCTTCCGGCTCCAGGCTTGTGTCCTGCCCAGGGCCGCCCGGCCTTGGCCCAGGAGTGGCCATTCCTAGGGCCCACGGACCAGGGAGCCGGACGGTCCGCCCCCCTCGCGCTCAGTCCTTCAGAGCCTGGGGCGACCGCGGGGAGTGTGCAAGYGCGGCCCGCCCAGCCGCCCGCGGCTCACCCCCGTCGTCCAGCAGCACGTTCTCGGGTTTGAGGTCGCGGTAGACGATCCGTCTCTGGTGCAGGTGCTCCAGACCGCTCAGCATCTGGGCCGCGTAGAAGGTGGCGCGCGGCTCCGGGAGGCCGGGACTCTCCTCGTCCACGCTGTAGATGTGGTACCTGGGCGGCACGCGCAGAGCACCGGCACCCTGGCCACAGCCTGCCRGGGACAGGCCCAGGCGGCCCGAGGCCCCGGCTTCCTGCACCCCAACCACRACTCTCAAAGGCAGGAGCTGCGGTCAGGGGCCTGTCCTCCCAGAGCCCAAGGCCACTTGCCAGTCCACAGGGGGGCCAGTGGCCGCCTGGTCCCTGCTGACGTGCATGGCCCACAGCAGGCACGAGTGGTCCTCACCCGACCTTGAGCCCCCGGTGGACTTGCAGCGTCCTCTGCCCAGTCCTGCCTGAAGTCCACCCTTCCTTGTCTCAAGAGAGGCCCACCCCACAGCTATGAGGAAGCGGTGCCCTGGGCAGCAGCAGGGTGGCCAGGCCCCGGCTGAGGGCAACAGGAGGGCAGGCAGCAGCTGCTAGCCCTGCACRTGCTGAGGGGCAGGTGGCCCTGAGAGCTGCCACCTCTCCTCCCTGGGCCCTCGAAGGCTGCTGTGTGGCCCTCACGTCCCTCACTGGAACCCAAGCAGCCAGAGAGAAGGGCCCACGGAGTGAGGGCGGGGGCAGGAGGCAGTGTGGGCCTCCCGGCCAGGCCCCCTGCAGCTCCAGGCCGGCCCAGGCCGGGTCCAGGACAGCGTGAACCTGGGCATGGGTCCCGTTTCACAGACGAGGACACCAAGGCCCAGATCAGGCCTCGGCTAGCTCCAGGCCCTGGCCCCCGACCTTCCTGGGAGCCCAGCTGGCCTCAGAGTCGCCCAGGGACTGGTCAGGGCACACATGCTGCTTGGCTGGTGGCGGCACGGCCGGSCCACATGGGCCGCTCGTGTTGCAGGCCAGCTCCCTCCCGGGCGGGCACCAAGGGAGTCGACCACCACGCACTGGCCCTTGGTGTGAGGTGCGAGGCCCTCGGCCAGCCTCGGCTCCCAGCACCAGGTCAGGGAGCAGAACCGGGAGGCCCCCGTGACCAGCCTGGCCAGGGCCACYGGCGGCTGCTGTCCTGGTGTGGCCTGAGACAGGCACCAGCTCTGGGACAGAGGGGCTTCTGATGGGGCCCAAGCAGATGTGCTCAGCTCGCGGGCCACCGGCCTGGACGGCCCTTTACCTGACATCACCACCATTCATGATGGTCATCACCAGGCAGAGGTCAGTCTTGGTCTCGAAAGCATAGGCCAGAGACACGATGAACCTGCTGTGCACTTTGGTCAGGATGGTCTTCTCCACCATGGCGCCCTGAGGGAGAGGAGGGAAACCAGAGGCCTGTGGGGGGGCCCAGGCCGCCTGCACCAGTGGCCCAGGGCCAGACTCGTGCAGGACGGTGTGCCCAGCTTCAGGAGCAATTGAAGTCCCTGGAGACCCTTTCCACACACCCAGCACTCAGGGGGCAGCATGAGAAGCCATCTCGGACTGGGCCCAGGGGGTCCCACCACCCAGCCGACGGCCGTCTCCCTGCCGCGGCGCTGGTCTCCCTCTCAGTGCTTCCTGGGTCCAGCCAGCTCCCCTGCTGCCGCCCGGCCCCRTCCTGCCAGCCTCTGCCCAAAAGAGCTCTGCTCCTCTGTCTGAGACCACGGGGGGCATCGGGGGGCAGGGCAAGACCCTCAGGAGGCTAAAGCCAGGGTTAGACACGAATGKCCCGCATGAACTGCCCTTTCCAGATTGCCACGGACCACCCTGGGAGTGGTCACGCCCAGCTCACGCTGTGTTCTTCTAGGCTGAGCAGCTCCTGCTGACCCTGCCTGGCTGGACACTCTGGTGCCAGCAGAGGAGTCGGCAAGACGCTGACTCCTGTCCTCCCAGGAGGCCAACCCCGCACCCCAGCCCCGGGCCAGGCCAGTCCCAGAGACACGTGGCTCACAGAGCCCGGCCTCCCTCAGAGCCCGGCCTCCTTCCCCAGAACCTCCCCTGCTGCAGCGTCAGCGGGCTTTGAACTTCCAGATGGGGCAGACTCCGGAGAGCAATCCCTGGCAGGCAGGGTCCACCGGCCAGGAACCCGGGAAGGACCACAGGCCCCGGGACCAGTGGCGAGGGCAGCGTGCGGCTCGCAGGTCCTCCGGGGCCTGCGGCCTCCATCTGGACCACGAGAGCCGGCCCTGCTGCTGGTCGCCGTGCCCACCTGGTAACCCTTCCTCTTCTTCAGACGCTTCTTGTTCAGCTTCTTGCAGGCGTACATCTTGCCGGTGGCCTTCATCTGGCAGGCAGACACCTCCCCAAAGCCCCCCTTCCCCAGGACCCTGAAGTCCAGGAACCAGTCCTCCCCGACGGGCTGGGCCTCCAGCCACTTCCACTGCAGGAACCTCCGGAAGTGCAGGCTGCCCAGGAACTCCTGGAAGGGCGCCCCGCTCAGGTGCTCCAGCGTGGCCTGCAGCAGCGGCTGCAAGAGCCCCTCCTGGCCCCCCACGGCCGCCCCCTTCACCTTCGACACGGCCCCCTCATCCAGAAAGCTGCAGAAGAGCTGGGCCTGGGGGTCCAGGTACGTGGCCACGACTCTCTGTGCCTTCTGCGGCCGCAGGTCACCATCCACCGTGTCATAGTCCTCGATGTCCAGCCAGAGGCCCACAGCCGGCTCGTGCCTCTGGTCGGCCCTGAGAAACTGCTGGAAGAGCCGCCTGCCGATGGGCTGCTCCCGGCACACGCTCTGGAACTCCAGGTCCAGGCTGTCCCGGAGGCCCTCGCACTTGGACAGCGGGGGCAGCCGGAGCTTGGCCCGGTACTTCCTGTCCCTGGAAGACGGGGCGCTGCTCCCGTCAAAGCTGCCCCGGGCAGCGATGAAGGCAGAGTTGGCCACCACGGTCTCCAGAGACCCGAAATCCATTCTGGCGCTGCCCCCTGCCCGCTCAGGCCTGAGGAGACCTCGGCCAAGGCCGGGCTCTTGGYGCCGACTCGCTGCCCTTGGCCTGTGGCCGGCTCCTGCCCTGGGGGACCAGGAAGAGCTCCCAGCAGTGGTGAGGACGCCCAGGAGGACCCGGGGCTGACACAGCACTGACTAAATCCCAGCCCCGGGGCAGGGAGGGCACCTTGGGGGAGAAAAAGAAATCCCCTAAGCTGCCCCAAAGCGGATCAGCCAGGGGCAGCTCAGCCCCCTGCAGCCAGACACCTGTGTTTCCCACAGGAAGGACAAACCCAGGCCCCCGGGGGCTGCGCCTGTCCTCGTGGGACCCTGGCCAGCAAGGACAGGGCGTCCGTGGCGGTGTCCTCTGTGAGGATGGCCGGTCATCCATTTGTATTCTAAGGAAATTACAGCAAGAAGCAAACCTCCAGCCACTAGGAGCTGAGAGAGGAGGACCCCACAAGAGCTGTCCAGGGGTGTCCATGGGTGAGGGCCCGGCACACCGAGCGGTCAGCAGGGTTGCTCAGGTGACGCCAGCCAGGGAGCTGGAGACTCAGAGCCRCCCAGGCTCAGCCCGAATCAGGCAGGAGGGGACGGGCGAGGCAGGGACCTGGGCGGCGGCACACCAGGGGCACACCCAGGACCCAGGTGGGCACGGCCGACTCAGGGAGGGCGCCCCGGGACACGCAAGGGCGTGCCAGGTCCTCCTGGGAGGAGGCAGCCCCCAGCTCCAGGGGCAGGCTCCTCGGGAGCCCAGCCTACAGCAGAGCTCAGCTTGGCTTACAGAAGGAGACGGAGAGCGGTTGTCCCACTCACAGAGGGCAGGGGACAAGGCCAGGAAGAGAGAGTGCCCACGCCCAGGGAGGCCGGAGGACTGTGCAGGAACCTCCCGGCTGGGCGGGCAGGACTGTGGCAGGTGCTAGTGAGTAAATATTTGAGGTGAACAGCATCGTGTCGTCCCCGGGAGACGGCACTAGGTCAGCCCTGCCCCCTAGGAGGAGGTGACCTTGGGCCAACCACTTGAACGCCTTCCCGTCACCAGGGTCAGAGGGGACAGGTTCTCGTGGTATTGTTGGTACGGGTGGCCTCTGCTGCCTTTCCCCGGGGGTCTGAGCCAGGACAGTCACCCAGAGACCCTGCAGGAGCATCCCATGTCGGTGGGCCTGGGCAGTGCATCTCTGGGGGCTCCAGGGGACTCCCACATCATGGCCCACAGGAGACCCAGGGCTGAGGGAGAGGACTGCACTAGAGGTGAGCACAGAGGTGTCCTGTGGAAAGCACCCACTGCCCCTTGCTCGGCCACAGAGCACCCAGGATGAAGGCAGGCTCCTGCTGCCCCAGGGTGACTTGGACCTAGCAGACGTGGCCGAAAGGGGCAGCTGTGCCTCGAGGCCACACTCCTGGTCTCTGGAAGTCCTTTCTCCATTGACCCTCTGGTTGGTGGTAACTGCTGATTGGCAGCCGGGGCAGGGACCATAGAGAAGCCCCTGAGGAACAGCCCGGAGCACAGCCCAGCAGGGCAGCAGGGCCCTGTGCTGCCTCGGAGGCCACTCGCCTGCCCTGCCCACCCCTGTGGACCACCAGTCTGAGGCACTTGGGCATTTCGAGGATGCTCTCTGCGTGGATTCACACAGTGGCCCCCAGACCAGCTCTGCACTCACATGGCTCTGGGGGGCCATCTAGGTCGGCGTCTACGACAGACCCCTGGACCCAGAGCAGGCCTGCTCCACCCTCTGTCCACCTGGACCCAGAGCAGGCCTGCTCGACCCGCTGCTTCCAGTGTTCAGCTGCCCGAGAGGAGCCACTGTGGACATGGTGAGTGTCCCTGAGTGTCACTCGGGTTGTGTGGCAGGGGTGTTTGCTCTCTGGGCAGCTCCACCCAGGGCCGCCCACCAGGCCTCCCTCATGGCCACAGGAGCTCTGCCTCCTCAGAGTCCTGCAGGTGCTGGTGGCCCTGGTGGCTGCGACCTGCACTTCCTGAGGGCTCGCGCTGGTGTCCTCTGTGCATGCCCTGGCTTCCACCTGGAGGGTCCACTTTCTGTGTCCCGGGCAGGTCCTGGTCAGCGTGTGGTTTCCAGGTCTCCTCCCGGCCGCTGCCTCTCTGGTCTCCTTATGTAGGCTCACCGAGCAGACGTGGCTCATCTGGCTCAAGTCCAGCTGCCCACGTTCCTTCTCACAGGCTGGGCCTGGTGTCCAGCCCGACTCCCCTAGCCGTGGCTCCTGAAGACCCTCCCGTGTCTCTCCTGACGTTTCACCTAGAGTCCGTGGCCCAGGGGCTACGTGTGGGCCAGGCGTGAGGCTGGGGTCCAGTGTCTGGTACAGGCCCAGCTGCCTGCACCTGGAGCAAGGCTATTCCATGCCTCGGATGTCCCCTGCAGCTCTGCAGGAGTCAGTGGGTCTGTCCACCCTGAGCTGCACCTCCCCTGGCCTCAGGACACAGTCCTGGTCACTGGGGCTGTCACCAGCTGTGGAGCTGGGCAGACCTGCCTCCCACTGTATTCTTCGTCTCAAAAACATTTTCCAAGAACTCTTCAGAATGTAGAAGAAAATATCTACCTATTCTAGATCCCTTGGCTTTCTGTACAAATTCTAGAATGATTCCTGTCTCTGTCTCCAAAGTAATCTTGCTGGGATTTTGTGTGTGAGTGTGAGCGGGGATGACAAGGATTGAACTCAGGGGCCCTCGACCACCGAGCCMCATCCCAGCCCTCGTTTCTGTATTTTTTTAGAGACAGAGTCTCACTGAGTTGATTAGCATCTCGTTTTGCTGAGGCTGGCTTTGAACTTGAGGTCCTCCTGCCTCAGCCTCCCAAGCTTCTGGGATCGCAGGTGTGTGCCCCCACACCTGGCTTCTGGCTGGTACGTCGATGCGTTATTTTAGGACTGAATATTAACTTGGAGAATCTCCGTCTCTACTGAGCTGGGACCTGTGCCTCCGTGAGTCCGACCTCCACTTACTTCCTCACCCACCCAGAGGGTGTCACCTCTGTCCTGCTCCCGTCTTGTCACATCGGCACCTTGTGTCCTTTGCGCTGCACTTTCATCCTAGTGTGCACGTGCCTGTCTCTTGCCCTGCCAACACAGCTGGTTCTTCACATGGGTCTGGAGTGAACGTGCTGTTTCTTGGATGGATTTCTCGACATCAAACCCGCTTTGCATCCCACTGGAACACAGAGTGGGCTGTGTTTATACACTGTTGGACTCAGTCGCCCACATTTTATTTTTTATTGATTTTATTTTTTAAATACACAACAGCGGAATGTGTGACGATTCTTATTACACATATAGAGCACAATTTTCCACATCTTTATATAAAGTGTGTTCACGCCAACTCATATCTAGYTGCCCACATTTTAAAGGACATTTGTGTCCTTGTTCCCGAGGGCCACTGGTCCGCAGCCCACTCTGGTATTCCTGAAGACTGCTGGTCCACCGGTCACTTGTCTGTTACCTGGTTTTAGGATCCGGCTAACACTGGCCTTAAGTTGGGTCGGGAAGTATCTCTTGCCCTCTATTTTCTAGAAGATGGAGTGAAGAATGGGTGTGGCCAGGTGTGGGGGCGCACGCCTGTCACCCAGCAGCTGGGGAGGCTGGTGCAGGAGGATGCGAGTTCAAAGCCAGACTCAGCAAAAGCRAGGCACTAAGCAACTCAGTGAGACCCTGTCTCTAAATAAAATAGAAAACAGGGCCACCTGAGGGTCGAGGGCCCCTGAGTCCAATCCCCCTGCAGGAGCTGGGTGACACCCCTCTCGCTCCTGACCCTGGTGACAGTGTCTCCTCTCTTACGAGGCGTTTGTCAACCCTATTGATCTTGTCAAAGGAGCAGCCTTGGTCTCGGGGACGCCCGCCACCGCTCTCTGCTTCGCRTCCACTGGCGTCTCTTCTCTGTTTCTCCTGCTTTGTTTGGCCCTGGAGTGTCCCCAGGTCCTGTGCTGAAGGCCTGGGCCCCGTGCAGCAGGCTCGAGGGGCTGCAGGGTGTGGCGGACCCTGCAGGCTCTGACTCAGTGGTGGCCACGGGGTCACAGGTCCACTTTGTTCTCTGCTGTGGCCCCTGTCCCAGTTTTCCTGGCCGTGGGCCTGTCTGTCGTGGCTGTGGACTGGTCATCCAGGCCCATCCATCTCACGCCCGTTGCCTGACGTGGGCAGGTTCAGATGGCACCTTCCTTTTTAATCCTCCTGGTTCTCGGAGTGACGAGCCATCACCTGTTGAAACCTGGCCTTCCACGGCACTGGCTCCTCTGTTCGGTCTGGTCATCTCTGACTCGGGCATCACCAGGGGCTGGGCCAGGCCTGGGCACAGGTACAAGACCAGGTCCTCCTTGTGAACTAGGCAGGTGGGAATTCGGGCTCCTCGTGTGGTCTCCACTGACACCACTGGGTGATGGCCAGAGCCCTGACTCTGCACTAGGCCAGCCAGAGACGGGCAGCAGGGTGGGCACGAGGTCCCCGTCATCAGAAACGTCGCGGGGAAACTGCTGAGGTCTAAGGGACGTGGGCAGAGGCTGTTCTGACCACAGAGGTGCTGTTCACACGGCTCAGGCCTCCAGAAAGGTCCTCGTCTGGAGACAGTGGCCACAAAGATCCCAGCACCCTGGGGTCCAGGCCCACGGGCTGTGAGAGCTGGACTGCCGGCCAGAGCCTCAGTCCACACAGCACTACCCCGAGGCTCCGCGTCAGCGGTGGGCACAGGGCCTGAGGTCAGGCACAGGATGGTTCATTAGGACACCACGGGAGTCCAGGCTAGACCCTCGGGGTCGCCCCGGAGCTCTTGCGTCTCCTGGGCAGTCTCAGCTGGGCAGCATCAGGCTTTCTGCCCTCCCCATGTGGCCCATTCACACCCACACCTGCACCCCAACGGTCCTCATGGGCTCTGAGAGCGTGAGAATCGCCCCACGTGGCCACACCGCCGGCTGGGAGGCAGCTGCAGATGCCAGGGCTGGGGGTGCTTCCGTGACCCGGAAGCCTCGGGGCCACAGGCAGGAGGCCGCCCTCCCTGCCAGGCCGCTGGAGGCAGCAAGCCGTGAGTGGAGGGCTGTGCCCAGGCCTGGCCTGGCCTGCGCTGCTCTGAGTGTGGCCTCCTGAGGAGACACGTGCCCTTGAAGGCTTTCAGAGCAGCGCCTGCCAAGGGCACCCCAAGGGTGTCCTGGGGGCCACCCGGGTGCCTGGGACAGGGAGGAGGCGTGATAGCAGGGGAGCGCCTGGGGACARCCCCGTGTTTGGAGAGCTGATAAGGCCTCCTGGTGCCTCTGACGCCCAGGAGACTATAAGACSGAGGGCCACTGCCCGTCTCAGCAGGAGCTGGCAGCACCGGGGACATGGCCGCGCTGCAGGAGAAAAAGTCCTGCAGCCAGCGCATGGCTGAGTTCCAGAACTACTGCTGGAACCCGGACACRGGCCAGATGCTGGGCCGCACCCCGATCCGGTGGGGTACGTGAGGGCCCGGCGGGGCGCTGCTCAGGGCACCTGTCCAGGGTGGTGTGGGAAGGGGGCAGAAGACCACTGGCCAGGAGGACCAGACTGCAGGAGAGGCTGTGGCTGCCGGGCTCTGGTGGGAAGCAGCGGTGGCCCTGGACAGCCAGGTGGGCGCTCACACAGGACCCGGCGGGAGGGAGGGGCATGCGGCCAGCCCAGCTGGCCCCAGCAGGGACAGAGCCCCTGCGGCACCCAYGGGGAGGGGGCTCTCCCAGTGGGCCCTCGGGGGCGGGTGTCTGCCTGTTCTTCATCACACCTCGTCACATGTCACCCTCTCAGGCCTGACCTGTGCGTGTCACGGGCCCAAGCCTGGGGGTGACGGTGACATCCCCGGCGTTGGCCCTTGCCCTGGAGCTGCCCCTCCCCTGGGAGCCTCCGTCAGGCCTGCCGGCCTTTCTCTGTGTCGCTGGCTCCGGGAGAGCTGGCTGCCCCTGTCCCTAGTGAGTGGCCTGGCTCTCGTGACCCTGGAGGACCCCTTTCCCTCTGGTCGCTGGTACGGCCTTCAAACCAGGGGCCAGGGAACAGGCCTGGTGTCTTGCCCCCCGAGGCGCCCTTCCCTCCGTCCCAAGGGTCCTGTCTGCCATGGGGGTCCCTATCTCTGTAGACCCTGCCCCTCAGCAGGAAGCCAGGGTCCCCAGATGGCCCCGGAGGCCTCCTGCTCCCCAGAGGCTGCCCTCCGCTCTGTGAGCCGGACGCTGCAGGGTGAGGCCAGCAGGCTGCAGTCCCTCCCTCCCTCATGGCCACAGTGATGCCTACCCCTTCCTGGGGGAGGGGAGAAAAGGCCCAGGTGGCCCCCACCCACTGCAGGGACAGAAGGCCCTCGCTGCCCACAGGCCTGCCCAAAGCCGCCCAGGGATGGCCCTGCCGGGTGGGTCTTCAGCCAACAGCAGTGTCCATGAACTCCCTGCAGAGCGAGCCCTGAGCCTCCTTCAGGACTGACCTCCCTGGTGAGGCTCTGCTGGCCAGGAGTGTCCCCTGGGACCCCGGCAGCTCTGCAGTGCCAGCCCGGCTGGAGACAGGGTGGCCACCCACCCTGGAGTCAGAGCCCACTCTCCTGACCCCTCTCCTGCCCCACTCTCCTGCAGTGTGGATCAGCCTGTACTACGTGGCCTTCTACGTGGTCATGACGGGGCTCTTTGCCCTGTGCCTCTACGTCCTGATGCAGACCATTGACCCGTACACACCTGACTACCAGGACCAGCTAAAGTCACCAGGTAAGCGCAGAAGGACACAGCCCTGAGCCGTGTCCCACCACCCACGGGCGGTGGCAGGGATGGCTCAGCTTTCTCCGTGAGCGACAGATCTGAGTCGACGTGGCTTCAGCTTTAACATCACAACAGCACTGGTCAGGGATGAGGACAGCGCTCTCGCTGGCTGGCCAGTGCCCGCGAGCACGTCGGACGTCGCTGGGAGGACCCAGGAGGAAGCTGGCAGGGCCTGGAGACCAGGGAGGAAGGACTTGGAGAGGGCAGAGTTGGACACCCCACATGCCCAGAGGGTGAGGGAGAGGTGGGCCTGGCTGCGGGGGCCGAGGAGGACGTGCCAGGTTCCCTAAGATGCTCCGCAGGTTTTCACTTCAAACCAGGCAGAGCTGCTGCCTCCCAACGCCAGAAACAGCCCCTGCTCAGGTAGACAGGAGCAGGCTGCCAGGTGGACACGGTGCACCAGCAGGTTCTGTGGTGCCGTGGCYGGAACCAGAGGCCGGGAAAGGGGTTTCCAGCAGCCTTGGAAATGGGGGAGCATGGGGGTGGCCAGAGTGCGAGGTGAGCCCYGAGGAGTGGCTTTGACTCCTCCTCTCCCACACACACAACCTGGGAACTGAGCCAGGACCGGAGAAGTGTCTGTGTGCAGAGATGCAGTTCCCTGAGCCCGTGACAGTGATGGCCGTGTGACTGAGCTCAGTCCTGCCAGCCACCTGCTCCTCGTGGCCAGGCTCTGGACCTTCTGGGACAGGCCCCACCTCACAGCAGCCTGCTCCTCCTGGCTCTCAGGCKGGGTCCCAGGGCCACGTGTCCTCAGAGCCCTCCATCGGGAGCCTGGCTGTGGCTTCCTTCCCGGGAGAGGCCCTGCCCTGAGCCCAGCTGCCTGTCTCCCAGGCTGGACTTGCCTCCAGCCATTCTGTGCCAGGCTGGACCCCGCGGGGCAGGGCTCCGGGAGACACCGCGGCGCTCTCTCCCCAGGGGTGACCCTGAGGCCGGACGTGTACGGGGAGAGAGGGCTGCAGATCTCCTACAACGTCTCCGACAGCAGCTCCTGGGCGGGCCTCACCCACAGCCTCCACCGCTTCCTGGCAGGTAGGCGGGACGCCCTGGCCAGTTCCCCACTCTCCGCGGAAGTCCTCAGGGCTGGGCTCTGGCTCCAGAGGGCGGAGAGGACGGCGCTGGCAGGCCCCTGTTCCCCCAGGCTACTCCCCCGCGGCCCAGCAGGACAACGTGGACTGCACGTCTGAGCAGTACTTCTTCCAGGAGAGCTTCAGAGCTCCCAACCACACCAAGTTCTCCTGCAAGTTCACCGCAGACATGCTGCAGAACTGCTCCGGCCTGCCCGACCCCGACTTCGGCTTTGGGGAAGGAAAGCCGTGTTTCATCATTAAGATGAACAGGGTGAGCCTCGAGGGCTGGCCTCCTCTGCCTCGGCCAGAGGCCGAGCCTGGGTCTGCTCCTGCCCTCGGCGCGGGGCTTGTGCCCTCAYCCTAGACTCTTGACCATGAGTGAAGCCACCTGCTCAGCCCTCCGCCAGGTGCTGGGAAGGAGCAGGACGCAGGGCAGTTGAGGGGAGGCCAGGGCCAGGCAGGGGCTGGGAGGGGCCAGGAGCCTCCACCAGGATCAGGGAGCCCCAGGGTCGGGCACAGAGGGGCCCTCCGCTCAGCACAGTGGGAGGTGCGGGGGCCGGGAATGGTGTCCAAGGCTGTGGCCATCCCTCCTGCCTGTGAGAACAGACATGGGCAGACAGCAGAGTGCAGAAGGCCGCTGGCCTGGCGGGACGATGGGGGTGACGTGGAGGCTGAGGCCTGGGGGCAGCAACTGGCCAGGCCAAGGGGCAAGATCACTGATCCAGAGACTGGCCGGCCCTGGGACTCTCGGCAGTGCCCCGAGGGAGCTGTACACTTGGGCACCGTACCCATCACGGGAACCTGTGGCTGGCCAGAGTGTCCCCAGACCTGCCTAGCAGGAGGACCGTGACCAGGCTCCCTTGGGACCACAGCAGCTGCATGTCCATCAGTGGCAGATCCCGCCCAGAGCTCAGGAGGGGGGCTGGGGCTGGAGAAGTGGGGCAGGGGCCGGGAGGCAGGTGGGCACGTCCTGAGGGGCCTCGAGCGTGGGTCGCAAGAAGGCAGCCCACCCACAGCACCCTGCTCAGCCACCCACCCACAGCACACTGAGGCCACAGGTGGCGTGACCAGGACCCAGCCCCACTCCGACCCCTGCACCTGGGGCCTGGCTCTGAGTGTGCGGGTGACCGGCACGGGCTCCTCAGAGGGGCGGCAGCCACAGCACTGCCCACACAAGGGCACACACCTCTCCTTCCAGATCGTCCGGTTCCTGCCCAGCAACGACACGGCCCCCCGAGTGGACTGCACTTTCTTGGTAAGTATAGCCACTGGAGGCTCACGGGGACACGCCCAGGCAGCTGCCCAAGGCCAGGCATGTGGTGCGAGCGCATGGTGAGGTGCGGCCTCTCACTGTGGCCTGTGGGGCATCTGCGACCTCTCACCAGCTCTCCAAGGTGCCCCCAGTCTGGAGAGACCACATTGCACCATGTCGCCTTGTCCTCTTACTGGATTATTTACAGAAGTGTTTCAGGTCCCTAACAGCCATGGCCATTCAATCAGGCCAGTAGGGGACTGCTGGGGGGTGGCAGGACGCTCGGGCAAATCCCAGTTTTTTTTCCCAAAGCGACTGCCACTGACATATTCTAGGGTCTGTTTTCAGCACTGAGCTGCCCAACAGGTCCACATGTGGCCTTCGGCCCACCGACAGGACACGTCCCACCAGGTGGCCCTAGGTGGCGTCCAGCGAGGCCCTCTGTCCTGCCGGGGGGGGGGGGCAGCAGTCTGTTTGGGCTTTCTCCTGGGTGGTGCGGGCATGGTGTGGGCCGGCTGGGAGTAACACGGGCCACGGGCCCCTCGTTCGTTCTCTGACGAGCTTGAGCTCCCCCAACAAGCCCAACATGTGCCCCGAGGAGGCGCGGACGCTCTGGAGAGCCACCGACTCCAAGCCAGCCCCCGTCACTGCCGGGACACCCGGGCAGGCACGTGAACGCCTGGGGCCCGTGCCAGCAGGTGGTCCTGTGCACAGGCTCCACCCGGCACCCAACCCAGCCCCGGCTCTCCCCACAGGACAGGCCCCCCCGGGGTGCGGGGCCCCTGCAGGTGGCCTACTACCCGCCCAACGGCACCTTCAGCCTGCACTACTTCCCCTACTACGGGAAGAAAGCCCAGGTAGGCCCCAAGCAAAGACCGTGACGTGCCCATCCCGTCCACGGCCGGCCAACCCCCAAACAGCATTCTCGTGATGACGCAGAGACACGCGTGTCCAACTCCCCGACAGCACAGCGCTCAGAGCCCCTCCCACCGCCCAGACCACTCAGAGTGTCCCCTCTGTGCCGTGGGCAGCTCTGGCCACGGTCAGCCCACACTGTGTCCCTCCAGCCCAGCATGGGGACCCTGGGGGAGGAGTCCCGGGCCACCCCGCCCCCACCTGCACTGGCCTGGCTGGGCTTTGGTACCACRGGTTCCCCACATCTCACCCCGGCCTCCGCTCCAGCCCCACTACAGCAACCCTCTGGTGGCAGCAAAGCTGCTCAACGTCCCCACCAACACAGAGGTTGTCATCGTGTGCAAGATTCTCGCGGAGCACGTGACCTTCGACAACCCCCATGACCCCTACGAAGGGAAGGTGGAATTCAAACTCAGAATCCAGGAGTGAGGCAGCCCCTGGGCTCCAGGCCTACCTCCCCGGCCCTGCAGGTCCCTGCGGCCCCGCTGCTCCGGGCTGCTGGAGAGGCGCTCCTGTCACCCACAGGGGGTGCTGCTGTTCCCGCTGAGGCTCACGCTGTGCCAGAGGGAACTGGAGGCTGTGGTGGAGGCTCAAGTGGACGTCAGCCTCACGGACAGCACCTCTCCCAGGGCCTGTGGTGTTTGGCACGAACCCGCCCCGGTGCACTGTAAGCTACAAGGCGCTGCCGTGGGGATGCTCACGCCCGTGCCTCGAACTCTCGCTCCTAAGAACACAAGTCTCGAGCTGTAAAAATAAAGCATGTTCCGGTGACTCTCACTCTCCTAAAACAGTCCCTCTGCCCTGACAGGGAGAAAAACGCACTAAAATCAAATGCTCCCTTCTTGGAAAACCCTTTCAAAGGCTAAACTCAGCCCAGGGAAAAGACGAAGGCCTGCGGAGGGGGCCGCGGGGAGGCTGGCGCCGCAGGGAGGCAGGAGAGGGAGGCAGCAGCCCATAAGATGGGGTCCAGAAGCCAGGTCACCTGGGCACTGGCCAGCTTCCCTGGAGGATTCCTCCTCCAAAACTGACCCCTTCACAGAAACCTGAGAGGGTGCAGCCCACAGGCAAACCTGCCGGCAGAGGCTGTGGACTCCTCCAGCAGCCACGCGAGGCCCAGGGCCGAGCCCCATGGTGCCCGCTGCCAGAGAGCTGCAGCAGGTGGCCCTGAATGCCACCCTGCACACACAGCCAGGAAGCCCCCACCTGGGGTCTCCCCCRAGGCTGACTGCAGGGCGGGCTGCGAGTGAGCGGGATCACAGACGGACTCACTGTGTCCAGGTCTCAGAACAGCCTGCCCCCAGGTGCCCCTCACAGGAAGGGCAGGTGGGGCAGCCAGGGCAGAGAACACAGCAGGCCCCACAGTACCAGGAACAAGGTGACCGGCGAAGGGGTCCCGTGGCGGTCGGGAGGCCTCAGGGCAGAGCCCCMCCTAGCACAGCTCAGGRGCTCCTGTGGGACTCCGGCTCGGCCCTCGGGTACAGGGCCACGTCCCGCCATCTGAGCTCTGGCGACGCTGTGCTGGGCAGCTGGACTCTGGGCATGGGAGGCCCTCTCGGGGTCACCTTGTCATGGGAGTGTTTCCTTCCAACACGGAGGTGAGGCTCGCACCTCCTGCACGTCACGGGGCAGGGTGACCGGGGCCAGCCAGGCGGCCAAGGCCTCACTGCCCCAGAGGCAGAAGGGAGGGCGCCCCTGACAGGAAGCCCGGGTCAGACGGAAGAAGACTGGACTCAGGGGGCAGTGCTTCCAGACAGGAGTCTGCAGACCCTGGGCCCCCACGGCCAGCCCCGTCACCACACACAAGGGTCACAGGGGCTCCCGAGGAGGGGCCACGGAGGCCTGTGCAGGCGATGGTGAGCACCACAGCRTGAGGGTTGGTGGGTGGCTCCGGCYGGGAGCTGCCCTGAGGACCCAGAAGTGGAGCTGTGTGCCAGAGGGCACTCGGTCGCAGCTAAGAGCAGCCCCCTGTCTCCCGCAGTCAGGACCCAGCTTCTCCACACACACGTGCCAGTCAGCTGTCTGCCGCTGTGACAAGTACCCGAGACACAGCAACTTACCAAGGGGAAAGGCCCTGGAAAGGAAGGGTGACCCGTGGGTCCACTGCTTCAGGCAGCAGCGCCTGGCCAGGAAGCAGAGCAAAGGGGCAGGGGTTGGACCCCGCTTGAGGGCACACCCCATGGCCTGTCCTCCGCCCCTGGGGCTCACCTACCAGAAGCTCCATGCCTCCCGCAGGGCCACGCCTTCCACAGAGCCAAGCCAGGCCCCTCCTCTTCTCTTGGTGGTGGCCACGCCGGACTGGGCAGTGCCAGCAGCCATCCTGGTGGGCAGGCGGCAGTGTCTCTGTGTCACTTTACACGTTCAGGGTGATGATGGTGCTGACTCTTGGCCCCTGCCCCTTCCTTGGAGGGGAGCCTGTCTGTCTGTCTGTCTGTCTGCTTATCCCTCCACCTTCTGCATGGAGCCCGACCAGGTGTGGCTTTCCGACTTCCCGGCCGCCTGTGGCTCCCTGATAACCTGGGCATCCTGTCCAGACCAGCATCCGTCCACAAGCTCACAGTGCTGTGGTCACTGTCCTCCCGTCTCACGTCCATGCGTGGCCACACAGAGTGGGCTCCACGCAACTGCCTGTGGACCACCTGCCCCAGCACCCCTGCGACCGCCTTGGGACCTCCGTCAGAACCGGGCTCAGATGCGGGGCGTCCTGGCTCTCCTGCTGGCGCCAGGGCGTGGGCGACGGAGGCTTGTGGCAGGTTTGAAGTAAGGAGTGAAGAATGAAGTTCTCCGTCTCTGCTCCTGCAGGATGGTCTTGGGGACTCTTGGGATTCCCAAAGCCCTGAGACTTCCTGCAGACAAAGCCCAGGATTCCAACAGGGCCCAAGACCACGCCGGGGAAGCGGACTCACAGTGCTGTGTCCAGTCCCGCACACCCAGTGCCTCTTCTCCCTGGTCTTGACTCCTCTCAGCAAGTCCTGCAGACCTCCTGCCCGTGCCTTCACCCCTGTGGCACGTGGGACAGTACTGTGCAGCCGGCTTCCTGCCAGCCGCTTCGTCAGGCACAGAAGCACCACGCCTTGCTCACGCCTCTGGCCCTCTGTGGCTCTCCTCACRGTGCTGTAGGGGCCTCGGGGTCTTCAGCACAGAAGGCTGTCTGTCACCTGCCACTGGCCAGCTCTGCTTCCTCCTCCCCAACAGGGCGTCGTGTTTCTCCTTTCGGGTGGCCCTGGTCGGACCTTGCAGCGCCAGGCTGAAGAGAGCGGCAGAGGTGGGCACCACCTCCTGCCCTTAGGCAGAGGCCTTCAGTCTGGCCACCTCGMAGGACGTCATTTAGATACAGCTCCTGGCCCAGCGGGGCCACTGGTGGAGGGCGGCCTGGGTGGGTGGGAGAGGGGTGTTGAGCACCCCCGTGGCAACACGGAGCCCCCCAGGCAGGCACAGCAATTCAGCGCCCTGAGGGAGCCAAGACCACCCAACTGCCACTGCAGGGCGGCCAGGCCTGGCCCAGGGCAGAGCCCGCTGCAGGAGCAGGCTCAACAGCGCAGCAGCCTGTGACCCCAACCTYCCATTCCTGACCCGCCAGGAGAACATGGCAGTGGGCAGACCTGAATGGAAGCAGGACTCCAGAGCTGACCAGTAGCATTAGTATGTTCCAAACCGCAACTGGCTTAAGTTTGGGCCAAGAGCACTGGTACATCTTCAGCACAATCTGCATACGTCTGGACCCCTAGCAGGGCCGGGGGTGCTACATAAACCCCGGGACCCACACACCTTCCCAGAAAACACGCTCTCAGTCCTTTCTTCTACTGCACAAGTTTTGATCGTCGGTAAATCCTACTGGTACTCTCATGGTGCTCTGTGGATCTCAGTCTGGATTCTACAAGAACCCTGAAAGAAGAAATTGGCGGTGGGCTGGGCCTGCCCCTGGGAGCCGCAGCCCCTCTGGCTGCCGAGGTGCCGCCCATGCCAACCCCACCCACCAGCAGCAGTGAGCTAAGTCCAGGGAGAACTCGGGTGTCACTTCACTTTATAAGGGTTTCCTTCTGCGGTCAGCATGCGCACCCTGACCATACAGTGAGGGAGRTAGGAACTGCCGGTGCTGCCCTGCGCAGCCCTGACTGCGCCCTGCTCGATGGGGTCTGCGTGCTGAGCCCCTGGCGTTGAAGTCCTGCTTGGTGGGGCTCGGGGTCCTGCTGTCCTGCTGGCTGGCCGGCGTTTGACTGAGGTCTCCCATACCAGTGCTCTTAAGCACACTGGCCAGAGCCTTCCTTCCCTCGCAGGGCCCTGGTGGCTTTGGGAGCCAGGTGACGCTGGCTTCACAGGAGAGCCAGTGAGTGTCCTCCTGCCTGCATGGAATATCTTTTTCATGCTTTTACTTTCAATACTTTTTCAAGAAATTTGAGAACTGGTGTTATTTTCTGAATATTCGGTAAAAACCACTGGTGACACTGTGTTCTCTGCTGGGAGATTTGGAGAACTGATTAATCTCCTTATAGAGACTCTTCTCTTCTGATGTCCTCTGGGCGGGTTGGTTTCTAGGAAGCTGCCCGGCTCACCTGGCTTCCAGGTGTGTTGGACACTTGTTCACGGCATTCTCTCACATCCTTACTTCTACAGAATCCATAAAAATGCCACTTGCATTTCTGATCTTTTTTTTTTCCTTTCCTACTAGTAATCCAGCTAGAGCTTTGTCAATTCTGTTGGACTTTTCACAGATGACCTCCTGGTTTTGTGGACCTTTCTGTATTTCACTATTCTCCATTTCATTCACCTCTGTTCTGATTTGAATTGTGCCTTTCCTTGGATGACTTTGGGCTTAGCCTGACCCTCTCCTAGTTCCTGAACTGGCAGAGGTGAGTTGCTAATGTGAGCTTTCTCTTCTTCCTAATGTGCTTCTAGCTATGGAACCAACTGTCTCCACATGACGCTTTGTCTTCATTTGTCTCTAAGGATGTGCTGTTCCCTGTGCTCCTGCTTCCATTGGTTCAGATTGTGGTAATGTCCCCAATCTGTGAACTTTCCAGCTTGTCCCTGATTTCTAACTTCATCTGTCCTGGTCAGTGAAACACTTTATGGGTCTGCCTCTTCAATGTGTGGAGACTCCATGGCGCCCTGGGGACT